TCTCCAATAAAATAATATTATGGGTTAAATAGGCGTCTATTTCTACTGTAAATATATAGACAAAGTCTCCAATAAAGAAAAAAAAATCTTATTGGTGTGTGATGCTGTTCAATTTGAGGTGGTGCACGAACTGAGAAGAGCAACTAAATAATCCTTGCCAACAGGGCGGTGCCGAGCTACAAGGAGGAGGTCGCTCTTCAAGACTTGTGATCAAGAAAGGAGAAGTTAGAGGCCCAAAGAGTTATTCCCAGGTAGATACTTCGACGCTCAAGTCAATAGGAGGTGATGGATGGTCAGGCTAAGCTATAGGGATGTTGGTCCGAGCAAAATAGTAGTATGGGTGTCAGAAGTTGGGGTCCCTTATCTTGAGCATGGAATACCTTCTTATAGCTGCGGACCTGTGTCCTAGTCGGACTGGGCTCCCGGGGTTGTCGGGATGAGGTAAGTCGTCGAGGTATTCGGGATAGAGCCCTAATCCCCGACGGAATTGTCTTCCTTACTCCTCTTTATTCATAGTTACACTTATCCGTGCCACAGGTAGTTGATGTAGTTGAGGGGATAAGATGGGGGGCCATAGTAATAGCGTAGCCTAGCCTAGGCCGCAGAATGAGTGCGTACTGCGGAGTTGGCCGAGCTATGCCAATGTGGCTAGGCTGATCAGGCGATGGCTGGGCGGCCACGTCTCTCTGGATCAGCTCAACGATGACCCAAACACCACTCCCCCAATTCTGAAGTCGAGGCATGAGGTGTTCGGCCAGGGTGTAGTGCGGTAGGACGCCTTGTTCCTCGGATGAGGAACTCCAAGTCGAAGTCTAGTTGAAGTCTGGTTGAGCGTCAGGTCCACTTGATGTTCCTCGGTGTTTGCTAGAATGTGAGGTCCGCGCAATGTGGGATGTGGCCGGGAGTTCTTCAATCGTCGGCTACAAAACTCCAAGAATTCTAACTTCAGAATCCGAACAGTGTGTCTGATTTATCAAAAGAAAGATGTGCCACTGCCCAAAACGGTCTCTGTTTGATAAAGAGGAGAATTAAAAATACCAAACATGTAGATGTAGTCATAGAATAGATGAGAAGACAAAAGCTTTTTCATTTGGTGGAAACATGCATGTTGCTTAGATAGTAGAAAAATTGCATATAACCTAGGCCTAAGCTGGCCCAAGCTTCATGGCAAGCCTAACGGGATGTCTACTGCCAATCCTTCTTGTCATACCTAACTAGAGAATGACGTCACTAAATGTGTGTATAATTTAGTTTAAAGTTTACTATTTAATTATCAAAAATTAAATTAAAAAAACTAATATAGATCTTGCATCTTTGTAATTGACAATTTATTGTGACATATTTTATTTGAAAATAATTATTAATTTATGTTTTTCTTAATTTGATATAAGATATTAAGTGAGATCTTATTCATAAACAATAACCCACTTTATTTGGTATTTACTATTTATTTAATAAATCTATTTTGAATTATTTATTTTAAAAGTTAAATTAGGTTGCTTCCTAAAAGAGTAAAAGTTAAATCAAGTTTGTAATTAATAAAGTATTTTTTTTTGAAAAAAAATCATTTAAAAACAAACGCGGGTTTATGATAATCTTTTATTGGGTCCCATCATTTGTATTTAATAGACTATGGATAAACATGTGTTAAGCTAATAAATAATTGTCTATTGAGAATGTTTAGGAATAAAATTACCCACTTTTTGAATACTATTTATTGAATTAATAGCATGCCACGTGTCTAAATAGTGGTAGTGGGTTTGGGTTTTAGCAACAGCTTTTCAGAAAATGCCACATGTCTAGCTTTCAAAAAAAATAAAAAGGCCACATGTTTAAATGGTGGGAGGATGTAGCATGATAGTGGATTGTGAGTTTTAGTAGGAATTTTTTAGAAATTGCCACATATCTAACTTTCTAGAAAATGAGAAGATTACTTGTCTGAATGGTGGTAATAGGTTGTGGACTTTAACAATAACTTCTCAAATAATGCCACATATCTAAATTCCCATAAAAATGAAAATGCCACATGTCTGAATGATACTTTGTTCGAGAGTCCGGACGTCCAATTGAAGTTAATTGCCGTATATTATCAATTGTGTATGTTGTAACGTGCATCTTACTATTATACAAAATCTCAGTTTCTATCAAAATGGCCGGGCCCTACTAGATTAAACCCCACGGATTGGGAAATGGGGACTTCATCTTGGGATTTGTCGATTAACCTACCCCTTATAAATTCTAAATTCCTAATACACCCAGAAATAAGAAAAAGCAAGTTGGCGACGAGAGAATAGAGATTAGAATGACTGTTCAGTCTTTCTCAAAGAGTCCATGTTCGGACGAATGCACCCTCCAATGAGAGACGACCACGTTGTCTGGGCAAAATCAAGCTGACGTTAACGGGCATTTGAACATTAGTTAAATGAATCTTGTTGAACCGGATAGAAAAGGACAAAAGAAACTTAAAATCATTGATTCTTTTGAATTATTTAGGATTGGGATGTGAGAATTCATTCTTACTCCTCCCATTTTATCCTCAGAGCCCTAACACAAAAAGCAACCCATCGGCGATTTCACTACACAACCAACATCCGTTTACAGGGAATTCACCGACGACAAGAAATCAACTGGCAATAAGCATTTTTGTCTTCTTTCTATTCTTCTCTGAATCTTCTTCTGAGGAATTCTTTTTCTTCTTCTTCCCCTCCTTCCCTGCAAACTTATTATTTTTTTTTTGCTTTTTAATATTTCTGAAGTCAGCGTTACCCCTAAACTCCTTCCTCTCTGAAACAAACATCCGCATCCCCAAGTTGATGCTACCCTGATCGAAGGCAACTTATCAAAATCCCAAAAACAGAACTGGATCCAGTTCTCTATTGCTCTGGTGCCCCTTGTCTAATGTAGAAGAATTGAATTCCTTGTCCATGCAGTTCTATGAGAATTACTGCACCGCTTTGAGAGCTGAAAACCTGGAATTTGGACTACAAAAATGAAATTGTAAAAGCAATTCTCTTACTAGAATTCCAATATTGAATGTTATTTGTGTTCATCTCACCGTAAAAATTTCAAAATGATTTTTATATTCTCAATGCATGATTGTTTACCGTACATGAGTTATGCCTGTACATGTTTTTTATGAAGCTAATACAACATTTTACCTTAATCTTAGAATTAAAAAAAAAACATGTCGATCTGCTAACTTTGAGGAGTTCAAGGAAGAATTTCAGCACCACCTCAAACCAAGCTCTATTACTTTGTAATACAAATTTGTTGCAAGTAAAAAAATAAAACTTTAATTTTTTTACTCTTAAATTTATAGCTGGTTACAAAGTCTAGAACTTGTAGAAAAATGCCCATCTTGATTTGGTGAAACAAACCAGGAATAGAGAGTTAACTATTCTCTTTTTGGAACTTCGATGGATTGCCTTCTATCAAGGCACTGACGATTTGGGATTGTGGTTGTTCATTTCAGAGAAAATGGGGTTACGGTATGGCCAGCTTCAGAAGCATTCACAAACAACAAAAAAATAATAGTATAGAGAAATGATATCGACATTAAATGGAAACCCCTCGCAATTTCTTGTATTGAGGAACACCATATCTTTGTATCGGTTGTCATTAGACCTGTTCATGGGCCAGTCCTGATTCCCGGACGGGCTTAACATGTTTATAGGCCCGGAGGCTTAAACTCGGGTCGAAAAGCCTAGTCCGTAATAAATTCGAATTGGGCTTGGGTTTTATTAAAATAGCTCGACCCGAGTTCGACTTAAAATTAGACTTAAAATGGGTTATGTAATTATGTCCATTTGAATAAATTTTTTGATTTAAGAATGTAAAACCGTGTTTTAAAACGTAAAAGAAAAAAGAAAAAAACCATCTTGTAGGCCCATTGTTCATTTAAATAGGAAAAAAAAAAACCTTTGAATTTTTAATTCTAATTTGAATAGGGAAAATTGTAATTTTTTTTATTAGGTTGGGCTTCGGGCTTTTTATCAGGGCCAGGTTCGAACCCAAATTATAGGCCCGTTGGTCGGGCTAGGCTCGGGCTCGGGCTCGGGCTTGGGCCTAGCATATTTCCATTAATGATGAGTAAAAACCCGACCCGACCCATGATGAACAGGTCTAATTGTCAGACAGTGCCGGGTACCGATGTTTCGGCGAGAGACGGTAATTGACGGAGGACGACGGCGGCGACAATATGCACTATCCAGCGGCAAACAAAGCTGTAGCCCTTGATGTTGTCGATCGATGGCTTTCACGTTCACGGACGTCCTACCGATGGATGCTTCTAGGTTAGGGGAAGACCAAACGATCCCATGTAATTAAAATATTTACCACTTTTTAAGTATTTTTTGTCTTTTTATGATTGGTCCGATAGGATTTTTTCGGTTAATATTTAAAAATTAGTTAACGCTAATAACTTTTAAATATGCCCACTTGGTCGTCTCTCATTGGAAAATGCGTTCCCGATTCAGAAAAGGCGGGACTCTATCTCAGAATTCTTAATTCATTGGACAGATGGGGTGAATTGAGATCGTGTATTGATGCCAAATTTATAAATAGGACGCGGTTTATAAAAGGGGCTACCAGTAAACTATAGAGGCTGTAATTTCAACATTGTAGGTTGCAGTCTACTTCTCCGTAGAAAATTCGAGTGAATATGAGTAGAAGGTGACTGTAAGTTTAGATTTCTGAGAGAATACAGTCTACTGTCCCAAATAATTATTTATCATAAGAAATAGAATAGAAATATAGACTTTCCTGGATGGGACACCTGGATTTCTACACGGTTTTGAAACACCGCTTTTTATCAAACCTGGGGCCGCAGCCGCTGGAGCACAGCGCGAAGAGTCGTCAAAATCAAAATCTACTGACATGTAAATACCCTCCTCGCATTGACTCACCACTCTACTTCTCCTAACATCCTCAGGGTTTTATTTGTCATTTTCATTTGACGGAGAAAAAACTCACCAAACATTTATATATTAACATGGGAGTTGTTTGCTATCGCATGACAGCACTGGATCAATTCAAACTAAAACGCTTCTCTGTCTTTGTTTGCCAATCATGTTTAGGTCACGCTCGAAAGATCGAGCTGCTACTAGTCCCGATCCTGCGACAATGGCGTCGAAGAAACCAAAGCATTCTCGGACGCATAATACGAAGAAACCTTCGCCCTCAAGGTCCAAGCATGTCCCTGCTCTGCTTTTGATGCTGTTATTCGTTCTCATCCTTCTTGTCGCTTTCGTAATCTTCTCCCATCAGGTCCGCACCAAAGGCACCCCGAGTGCTAAAGATATCACTTCTTTCCTTCACAAGACCGTGAAGAGGTGTGTGTGGGTTTTTGCCTTGCTTGAATCTGTTTTTTAACGAACCTTAGTCATCTGGGTCGTCTGTGAATTCAATTTGACGATTTTCTTATGCAGTTTTGATGGGTTGGGAGAGAAAGAGCAGCAATGGACGGAAGTTATCTCCTGGGAGCCTAGAGCAGCCGTTTTTCATAATTTCCTGGTAAGCACGGGAGGTTTGTAAAGGCATCCCATAGTACGTATTTTCTTTGGTTTATGCCTGGTTTTAGTCACAGAAAATCTGATTCTGGGCCACTCCGTTGTGCAGTCTAGGGAGGAATGTGAATACCTGATTGGTCTTGCGAAGCCTCGTATGGAGAAATCAGAAGTTGTCGATAGCACGACCGGGAAGAGTGTTGATAGCGGGTTAGCCTCTCTCTCTCTCTCTCTCCCACTCCCACCCACCCACACATTGAGATGGAACTTGACAAAGCTTTTTACACAGGGTACGCACAAGCTCTGGGACATTTCTCACGAGAGGGCACGATAAAATCGTTAGGAGCATAGAGGAGAGGATTGCAAAATCCACATTCATTCCTGTAGGTATGTGCCCAGATCGTTTTGGGAGAAAAAATTTCTGCAACTGCAAGCCTTCGAATTGTATTTTGGTGAACGAAGAATTTAATTCCCGATGCACAATCATTTGATATATTTGTACTGATTAAGACAAACGATGAAATTCACAGAGCATGGGGAAGGACTTCATGTGCTCCGTTATGAGCTTGGTCAGATGTACGAGCCCCATTTTGACTATTTCCTGGATGAATTCAACCCTAAGAATGGGGGCCAACGGATGGCCACTGTTCTTATGTACCTGTAAGAACTCCCCTTCCTTCATGTATTGCAATTCGAAAATTCAGAGGGTGCGTCGTCTTATATATGTAGACTGACTTGGTTGTTTGCTTCTTTTTGCTCTTGATTGTACTACAGTTCTGACGTTGAAGAAGGAGGGGAGACGGTATTTCCCGATGCCAAGGGAAACATTAGTGCAGTTCCTTGGTGGAATGAATTATCTGAATGTGCAAAGAAGGGCCTCTCTGTTAAACCCAAGATGGGTGATGCAATTCTTTTCTGGAGCATGAAGCCTGATGCCACTCTGGATCCTTCAAGTTTGCATGGTTAGCCATTTCGATCTTCTTCATCTCTCAGTTTCTGTTGAACATTTCATCCAACATTAGCCATTTCTCTGAGCTTTTATTTTTCTTGTGTGATTGTTCTCAGGTGCTTGCCCTGTTATCAAAGGAACTAAGTGGTCATGTGCCAAGTGGATGCGTGTCAACGAGTACCAGGTCTGAGCTAAACAGTTGCGCTGAAGGTACCCTTCTATGCTCTTAAGGGTTGCTGCGACTGATGAGTGATGAATCGAATCACCTTCATTCAACAATTGATGCTTGATATTTCTATTTTCTAATTAAAAGCATAATTTAACTTTTAGGACAAATTAGCCTACTCGAAATGCTTTCCCAAGGGTTTATATCTTATATTCATCCCTACCTGTTGCAGAAACAGAAGTTGGAAAAATTTTCCATCAATTTGATATATAACATTTTTCGTCCACCTCTGATTATTATTAACTATTTTCTTTTGTCAGGTTATCCGGATGATTCATTGTAGACTGTATAAATGTGTTAGAATTCCAAGCTGACTCTTCTTCGGATGAGAAATCTATGATGTATGCTTGTACGACCCAGACTCTTCTTCGGATGAGAAATCCGGATGATTCATTGTAGACTGTATAAAAACTGGGCTTCCTTTCCGAGGAGTTAATCTGCGCACCAAATTTACTTTTTCTTAGGAAACTAGAAAGATGGAATGGTTACGCTGTATTTCAATGCCCAACTGTAATACCAAAAGAAAAATTTTAAATGGAAATTCATCAAATTGATTGTTTCATTAGCTTTTTCTATGTTATCCCACTAAGCTTATTTAGTTTCATAAACTTTCGACTGGCATGAGACAACGCCTGGCCCTACTTTGGATGCATTTCATTCCTCTGCTCTTGATCTCAGTGTCTATATGGGACAATCAATTTCTGAGTGAATAACCTTTAGTGAGAATATTCTCCTTGTACCTTTTCAACATACGAATCCGAGGCTTTACTCGTACTATCATCGGGAGATGTTCCCAATTCACGGCGGCTATGTGCTGTGGGGCGGAGATGTGTGATTCCGTCGTAACGATGTTGCTTAACAAGAACAGATCAAAATTCAGAAACGCCGACTCGCTAATTGATAAAATTGGCCCTGCTTTCAATTTTCAAATAGAGTATAGGGCATCCAAGCCAAAGGTGAGCAGAACAGCCTCTGCTCGCCTAAAACACTAATCATATTACATGTGAAGCAGGGTAGTCGACTAGACTAGTTGCCCCTACAGTCAGTCAGGAAGTCAATAAGACCTCCTTCCGTTGTTTTTTTAATAGAAGGAAGAAAAACCTAGCGTAACAAAGTTCTAATCCATAGCACAGATGTAGAAAATGGGCGTTTGTTTCTCTGATATCTTAACTCGGAAAAAACTAAATGGCTCAAATTTGCCAGACAATCCGCAGCTCGGTTTTTCTCTCCACTGATGAGATTGAGCTGCCACACGTAATGATCTGCTTTCCCCTATGCTTCTGCATTCTTGAAATCAAGGATGAACATTTCTAAGATGGGGGATCACTATTGCGGAGGCAGTCCATTACGATCTTTTGAGTCACCTTCAATCCAAATTTTGGTGAAACTATATATTTTGTGCGTTTCTATCCCTGCCCAACATGAATTCAGCCAATGTTGATGGAGGAGATACCTGCTTTAAGAATTGAAACTCCACCTGTCAAATCCTTTCCTATACAACGGAAAGAGCACAAACCGTTTGCTACGGTTCAAAATTGACTTTTATCCTTCCGGTTTAGGAGGCCGTTTGATAAGGGTTGAAGCAGCTGAACTGAATGACTTAATAATCAGGATATAACAACCAACCCAACATGCAATTCAGCCATTAAATAATTCACTTTCAGCTACCTCAGCTTTTTATCAAACGGGCACATGTATACAAAAACTTAGAAACACCGCGGCAGCAAACCTTGGGCTGGTGCCGCTGGACTGGAAGCTCCAACTCCAAGAACCAGTAAAATCAAATCCAGCTACCAAAAACTACGTACGGGGCCCCCTAGCTACCGTTGACTCATGGAACTAACATATATATATATATATATATAATTATATAGCAGAAGATCAGCACTTGGAATTTTGGAGCACTCGATCCGTTGTTGTGGTTGTCACTGGTGATACACAGGCTTTTTTTGGTTTCGCCAATAAACGCGAATTCTTCGATCGATACCTTAGACACAAAGAAGGAATATTATAAATATCTTCTGTAATCTGTATCTCTCTTCTTCGAAAAATAATGCTTTCGAATAGTTTACTGAGATTTTGGTCGTTGGATCAAGCTGCTGCAGCGATGGCGAAAAAAGCAAGGAATCGGGTGCTCGGCAGGAAATCGTCGTCGTTCACGCTTGTTTCTGCTATGCTTCTAATGCTGTTATTCGTTCTTGTCATGCTTGTTGTTCTCGGATTCTTCTCTCCTCCAGTCAGCAGAAATGATCCCCCTAAAGCAAAGGAAATCAGTTTGTTCGTCCACGACACTGTAGAATTAATGTAAGCAGGTTTTCAATCGCTAGCTGCTGCTGCATCTGCTTTCTTTTTATCAATAAAGTTCGTATATTTTGTCTCCATTTGTTCGTTCAATCGTCATCGCAGTCTGCAATATTCAGAAATGATGGTGTCGGACTCGGAGAGAGAGGGTTGCAGTGGACGGAAGTTATCTCATGGGAGCCCAGAGCAACCCTTTATCACAATTTCCTGGTAAGCTTCGCTTTTTGACGAGGAAGAGCTCTTTAATCTATACGTATTTTCTACGTTCATAACCATATACGTATCTTGTACGTACATGCATGATCTCTCTGGTCTACGCCTGTAAAGTGGGTAGACGGGCACTGGAGTATGTATTTGTGTGATATGTCTGTTTATTTGATGAGGATTGAGGAATTACAAAAACGCCTGTCCACTTTACACTTTACAGGGTGGTCCTGTATGTAAATTCCCTAGTCTATACTGTTCATGGGCGGGCTCGGGCTTGGCTTAAAATTCTAATGGACCCGGCCCGAAGCCCATTAGTCTCCAATATGGAGTATAACATATTCAACACAAGCAGGAGAGACTATCTTTATAATTGGGATTTAAAGAAGCCACAACTCATAAGGCCCTAGGTACTGAATGTGGTTTACTTTGCTGAACAGTCTAAGGAGGAATGTGAGTACTTGATTAGTCTTGCGAAGCCTTACTTGGCCAAGTCATCAGTGGTGGATAGCAATACCGGCAAGAGTATGGATAGCAGGTTTAATTTATTTCCTCTCTCTCTCTCGATCTCGATCTCGACTCCCGAGTCCTGACCCATGAGTTGATCCTCAGCGTCCGCACGAGCTTTGGAATGTTTCTGAACAGAGGACAAGATAAAGTCGTGAGGAGCATCGAGAAAAGGATCGCAGACTTCAGTTTCATACCCGTAGGTATGCGCTGCGCTAGTTGTTAGTTGTTACTGCACTGGGTAGTGGTTGGTTCCCACTTCCCATAATATTTTCTCCAAGCCTTTCATTTCATAGTTTAGTTTCATTTCGAATTGACCCGGTTGACCGTCTGAATGGTTCAACCATCCGGTCCAGTGAACGTGTTCAGTCTCTTGTGCTACATTATAAAACCCTTTCAATATCGTGTGATTTGGATTAATTTAATTGACAGAACACGGGGAAGGACTTCAAATTCTGAGATACGAACTGGGGCAGAAGTATGAGCCTCACTTCGACTACTTCGTCGATGAATTGAACACTAAGAATGGGGGTAACCGGATGGCCACCTTACTTATGTACCTGTAAGAGTAGTACTCTAATATATCTAATAATCCCTAGATCTGTCTCTGGGTAGCGAAATATTCCAACTTGATGCATGACCCATCATGCGACTTAAAAAAATAAAAACTAACTGCTGATACATGCAGTTCTGATGTTGAAGAAGGAGGGGAGACAGTATTTCCAAATGTCAAGGGAAATATAAGTGCTGTACCCTGGTGGAACGAATTATCTGCATGTGGAAAAAGGGGGCTCTCTGTTAAACCCAAGATGGGGGATGCAATTCTTTTCTGGAGCATGAAGCCTGATGCCACTCTGGATCCTTTGAGTTTGCATGGTCAGTGGCCATTCAATCTCTATATATATTCTCAGTTTAATTAATTACGTACCAATACATACTTAAATCGATCGATCTAGCATTGAGAGTTTTTCATCACCTATCTCTCCAGGTGCTTGCCCTGTTATCAAGGGAACCAAGTGGTCATGCGCTAAGTGGATGCATGTTAATGAATACAAGGTCTAACTGTGTTACCTACGTGTACCCTTGTAATTAAAGGTACGTACGTACTTACCCATCCACATCAATATTAGCTTGTATCACCTCTGGCTTTCTCTTGCATTCGGTCTACTGACGAGATACTGATGCCTGTAATCCCCATAACAACACAACAGATGGATGCATGGATTTGTATGTTATATCCAATATGTCATTACTACATTTACACGTGTCCCTTAAAGGTCGTGTGGTTACCAAAAACAATCCCCAACTGAAAACATAAACACCCTTTACTTGGACATGTGTAAAAACAATCGCCACTTGTGTGTAGATCTCTGATTCTACTTATTGCGATAACAGGATTATTGCAAAGTAAGGGAAAAATCTATGATGTGAAAAAGATATGATATGGAAATTAAAAATTTTCAATTTTAATCAATTCACACCCATCCATGAATTTTGATAAATAACACCTTATTTGTTATTACAATTATAGTTTTAATTTATTGGTCATCAATTATTTTTCGGATATCATATCTTTTCTATATCATACTCGAAATTGTTTATTTATAGTTATAACATTTGATTATCTTTTCTTACTAATATTAACATTTTTTTGCAGGTTTGATAAATGAATTTATCAGGCGGCAACCATAATGTAATATGACAAGTATATTAGAATTCACTCTTTCTTGGGCCTAAAAACCTATTGTCGCAATTGAAACTCAACATATATAGTATGTTATATCCAATATGTCAGTCTATATATAGAGTGCTCACACACATCCAACCATAATGTAATTAAATTAATGGGCTTCATAGCTCCAATTGATTGCAGCTGCATGTCAAATGAAAGAAAACAAATAATTCCTAGAGAATTAATGCAAATTTATAGTTTTTGATTGCAAGTAAAATGGCCGTGGAAATTAAACAAGATATTAAAAAAGAATGGGATTTTGTTCATTTTATGTGCAGCCAAATGCAACCTTCATTAACAAATTGAAAAAGAATAAAAGAAAAGAAATGGGTTTCATTTCATTCCTTTGAGCACTGCAAATTGCATGACCTGAATATTAATTCGCAACCATGAGATGCAATTAGTAAATAATTAAACTACGTAGACAACATAAATGTATGGATAGTGAAGGATTGAGGAAGGAGTGTTAGCCATTTGGCTCGTGGTCGTGGTGGAATGGAGAGGAATAATATTCCACTTTCCCGCACGACCCATGGATGATGGGATGGAGCTTATTTTTTTAATACTTCAAATTCACACCACTGATTCCTGCAACTTTTGTCAGCTTAGCTTCACGTCCTTCCATTATCATTCTATTTAATGATGTTTGCTTCTGGAACACAATGGTTGTTGGTTGACCTCGTCCATTATTAATTTATTGTTATTAATTAATTCATCATAAAAATATATTATTATATACTACGTCTTCTCTTGACTTTATTTGGTCTATTATTAGCGAGAGAGAGAGAATGTGTGTGAGAGATGCCTGATGATGGCTAATTCATAGATTAATTTGACGTCTCCTAGTTTGAACTTTAAGTGCATTATTAATGGATTCTGATTTCTATGTTCATTTCACTTTTTAATTACTTTTGCTTTTCTTTGAAACCGTTTGACTGTTCTTTTGACACAAGATGATACAAATTTGTGGTAAATATGTATATTATTACATCATATAGAGTTTTATTTTGACGTGTATGTGACTAACCATCACCATTTATGATTGAAATGTTAAATTTGACAACAAGTAAAAATAGAAATTTGTATCAATCAATTCTAAAACATTTGAGGGAGAAAAAATCTTTCCCATGCAAATTTGTATTGATCAAATACCCTCTATATCATCAGCACACTCAAACCCCAAAACCCAAATGCCCTTTCTCCATAGCTTTCTTCATGTATGCAGGATTGGATCAATTCCTGAAATTGAACAAAGAGCAAAGAGAAACCAAGATTTATTTCATATAGATTATAATAGATCAAATCTTTTATATATATATAACCATGAGAAAGATAAGTTATCATTTTGTCCGTATTTGGTTCGAAAGAAAAGGTAGCTAGGGAAACCTATACAAATAGTGGGAATATTTACTTTGAAACCTTACCCAGTGCCATATGATATAATCATCTTCTGATAATTGTCAATTAATTTGCTTTTTAAAACAATATAGTTGCAGCTGCCATGGTACTATTAATCTAATATTTTCATTGAAGGAGCTGGACATGCATGTGCAAGAAACTGATTATTTAAACATGTACTCCTCTAATTAAAGAATGACATTGAAGAGTTGTCATCAATAATGGGAAATAATGGACGCTGCATATTCAGACTTCTTAATTCAATTCAAACGCCTCTGCTCGGAGCTTTAGTTCATCAGCCAGATGGGTCCCTTTTAACCAAACCACCTTTTCTGGGCTTCATGGTTCAGACTACTTGTAGTCCATTGTATAATTCATAATTGGATGCTGGTTTTGGTGTAAAGTGATTAGATTCTTGGATCGTTTGTCTTTATATCTGTTTTTCATATTAAAATCCCTTTGACTTATATTTTTTCTTTCTATCTTTATCGTCTTTCTGTTCTTCTTCTTCCTTCTTCCCATCAATTAATAGATTATCAGTGGGCGGTAGCTTGCCAGCCTAACAGAGAGATTTCAGACTTTGACTAGGATAAGGAGGGGATTAGAGCCCAGTCAGCCCACTTACCACGACACTCCAACCTGTTAAGTGTTTCGCATTTTGTTAAAACACTAGTAAATTTGTACATATAACAGTATCTCTAGGACAAAATTTTTTATAATTCATGAGCTGAAGTGAAGGTAAATGTCATATATGTCTTCTTTATGCCTATGGGATGCTTAGACGAGGGGGTATAAAACGTCCAACCAAAATTGCAGAAAAAAGGGGCATTCGCTCATCTTTAGGGGTGGTGATACTTAACCCCCTTAACTTTCTCATATTCCAATATTTTGCCCTCTCTCGTAGCATTCCTCGGTTGACTTCGAAAGAGAAAGATTATCATTTGATCATATACTTGTTAAACATTTTTAAATCCTTAAATCAGCCTTTTTCTTAATTCGTTTAATCATTTTGCCCTTTCTCTTACATTAGGAACTAATGTATATTTACTTTCTTCTTCTTTTTCATAGTCAAATAACCAAAGTAGTGCACTAATTAATCATCAATACATTGTGAATAAATGTGAGATCAGTTGGTTTGCCTAACCAATTTTATCATTCTGTCCATACAAATATGGAAAAGGCATTTTAGTAAATTAGCATTCTCTATTATTAATACAGATTATCCAATTAAAAGAAAGGAGTAAAGTGTTGAAATCTGAAAGTTGAAGGGGTTTTTGCTACAAATAAAAAAAAAATCAGGATGGATAAGTGATACTATCCCCAAAGTACAAGGTGATAACATGAAATTACCCCAACTTAAAAGAAAAAGGGTTATAATTTGCACCATGGGTTGGACCCATTGACCTAAGAATTGATTATGATTTTTGGACCCCAAAATTGCTTGCTCAAGGTTTGGACCAGATAATTGGACCATTTAATTAGAAATCGTGGTCAAAACGGTTCCTTTTTTTCCAGTTTTTAAAACCATGATTTATATACTTGAAACATAGAGTAGTGAATGATAGGTGAAGGTATTAATAAATAAAACCCAAAACAAGTAATAAACTGGACTGAAAATTTCCCAAAAAAAAATTCACTCTTTCTAGATAATCATCGACCTCACTATTCACCAACCCTTGGCCGGACTGGACTGGATTTGATTAGAAAGAGAATCAGTGAAGATCACTCATAATTACAAAATTACCCCTCATCGTTGACTCTACCAAGAACAAAGAGGTTTCCCATCCAAGTGCTAAATTTGACATTTCATGTTTCAAAATTAAATCGTTGGACAAAAGCATCTTGTAAGAGAGAGAGAGAGAGAGAGAGAGAGTCCTCTCTTTCTTCTTTGAAAGAGTTGGTCAGGTGCTAAGAAGTCAGACGTTGTTAAGCTTTGCTAATAAAAGCGAGATCTCTGCGTACCACAGTGGTCGCAGAGAAAAAGGAAAAAATTAAAATTAAAGATTTGTCTCCGTCTCTCGTTCTCTCCCTTCTTTTTTTTTTAAAAAAAAAACAAAAATAGGGTTTTAACATTGCATAGCTGAGGTTTCGCTCGTTCCATCGACCTGCGACAATGGCGAAACCAAGGCACCATCGCCCATCTAGCAAGAGATCGCCTTCTTTCACGCTTGTCCTCGTCATGCTTCTCATGCTGACTTTCGTTCTCCTCGTGCTCCTCGCTCTCGGAATCTTTTCTCTTCCCATTAACACCAATGATGCTCCGAAAGCTAACGATCTCAGCTCATTCGTCCGCAAGAGTGCATACAGGTATACCTAGGCCTTGTTTCTGGTTGTAATTACGTCGTATCTTCTGTCAATTCGGTGGCGATCTGATTCGCCACTTTTTTTTCAATTTGTTGTTTCATTGTAGAAATGATGGTGGGTTCGGAGAGAGAGGGGAACAGTGGACCGAGGTTATCTCCTGGGAGCCTAGAGCGTTCGTTTATCATAATTTCTTGGTCAGTTCTTGAAAGCCTACGGTTTCTTTTGTGTTTACTTTTCTATTCACTCTATTGATGGAATTGAAAATGTTGCCAGAATTGTTGGTCTCGCATTTTTGTTTCTGAATCCTGATTACAAGTTAATTTGATTCTTTAAGAGGACCATTCTTTAACCGATCTAGGACTTGTACTGACGATTTGGTTCTCTGAATTAATACAAATTATATTTTACATCTTCTTTCTGGATCATATTGAAGATTCTAATGATTCATAGATCTACAACAAATGAAACATAGGTGGTATGAATTCTGTAAATAATAAATCCAGTTTTGGGTGAATTATGCTTTTCTGCTACAAACAAAAATCTTCCGAAAGAAAGCACAGAATAATAGGAGTTGTGAGTGGACCATGTCTGGGTCTCTCTTGTGACTGGACCATGTCTGCATTGTGAAATGTGGATTCATGGCCATTCTTCCAAGTTACAAATTCAAATAAGTCTCCATTTGTAAACGTAACCATAATTTATACTACCAAAGTTGTCTTATTAATTTTGACGCAAAATGTTAGCCTTTTATGACTATGTATAAGAACCGTGCTTTAACAGTTTGGTATATAATGAATTCTATCTGTGATTCATAAAAACCATAATACCTGTGATGTATCTTTGTCTGTGGGTATATAGATCTATATTACTTCTGCTTCATTTCAATGTCACTACAAAAAAGAATGTCGCAGAAATCTGAATCTGGCTAATCTTTTGGCAGTCCAAGGAGGAATGTGAGTACTTGATTAATCTTGCAAAGCCTCATATGGAAAAGTCAACAGTTGTTGATAGCACAACTGGAAAGAGTAAAGACAGCAGGTTTGCATTTGTTGTATATGACAGAAATCGTCCCTCCTCTTCCTGTTTTTTCACAAAGGAAATTGACGTATTGCTGGTCCTTAGGGTACGTACGAGCTCTGGAACCTTTCTCAGGAGAGGACAGGATGCAATCATCAGGAACATAGAAAAAAGGATTGCAGATTATACTTTCATACCTGTAGGTATGTGATTATGGTGGTTTGGATGTATGATTGCTAATTTTCTACTTGTCATATCTCTGCTCAAACATGGTTGGGACTCTATCATGAAGCTTGTGAGACTTGAAACTTGACCTAACTGGAATTACCTTTTTCTTTACCTTGTCCTTTCTGATGTTTTTCCATGAGGCAAGGACTTCTTCAGATATTAATAATGCTCCTTGCATAAATATGATTATTACCAGTGTTCAAGCTTTCATTTTTTTTGCTACAGATGTTCAATCTAGTTGTTGATGGAAATCCTTGATTTTTCATTATCCATTTGCTTGAACAATGCCTACATCATCATACATTTAAAAAGTATCAAATTTTAGTTCTTTTGTTTATTCTTTGTATTGAGTGTTCTAGGAACAAATGAATTAGTTACCAAAAAGAAAAAAAAAAAGAACAAATGATTTTTTTCTGTCTATTAATCTGCTTCAGCTTGTTAATGGCTTTATTGGTCCTGCTAGGTTTATCACTAGTTTTTCTTCATATAAGCTACATATCATATGCATGTATTTTCTTGCAGATGTTTCTTTCACAGATACCTTTCACTTGGTTTACAATTCTTGATCCACTGTTTAAATGCATTGCCATTAACAGAACATGGGGAAGGACTTCAAATTCTCCATTATGAAGTTGGACAGAAGTACGAGTCTCATTATGACTACTTCCTTGATGAATTTAACACTAAGAATGGGGGTCAGCGGATGGCAACTCTTCTTATGTACCTGTAAGAGCTCATATTCTCATCATGTGGTGACTGGTGGATTGAATATATTTTGGGATGCATCATATAGTGACAAAGTTCTACATCTTTCTTTTATAGCTCTGACGTTGAAGAAGGAGGGGAGACAGCATTCCCCAATGCCAAAGCAAATTTCAGTTCTGTACCTTGGTACAATGAGTTATCCGAATGTGGGAAAAAGGGATTATCTGTTAAACCAAAGATGGGTGATGCATTGCTTTTCTGGAGCATGAGGCCTGATGCCACTCTGGATCCTTCAAGTTTGCATGGTCAGTTAATATATCGCTACCCAATCATTGCATTCTATTTTGATTAGGTTTCAATTACAATCAGGTTCATTTGGTGTAAAATTGTGTTAATAATTTCTCATCAGAGTTATCTTTTATGAGTTTATCTTCAGCATCAGCAAGTTTGTTTCAATGCTGCAACATGAACCAATTTTTTAGCTCAATTCTTGTTTTGGAATTATATCAGGTGGTTGCCCAGTAATCAAAGGAAATAAATGGTCATCTACAAAGTGGATGCATATCAATGAATACAAGGTTTAAGTTTTTCAAGGTACTTATCTGTACCCAAACATTAAGAAAATATGAGATATTGCCTACTTGTAACACAAAAAGTAGTTAGTATACTTGTTTTACCTTCAATTTAACCTATTTCACTTTTAATTTTTGGATATCTGCCTTCTCTAAGATATAAGCAAACTTACTAGTTGGTCCAGATGGATTATTCTACATAACCTTTTTTATTTTTACCAAGGCTGCGTGCTAAAGAAAGTTTCATGAATCCTCTTTTACTAATGGCAGCCATACCTCCAACACTATTACTGCTGCGTGGAGTTTGTATAGACTAATGTGTCATGCAAGAAGAGCACTGTGGGCAGTACTTGCTCTCAAACGTGGACAACCAACTTTTTCTCCTTTTCAGGATACATTATAAACTTCAAATTAAATTAATATAGCGTGGGTGATGGTTTATCCTGCAATCACTATTTAAATTGTGTGGCTTGAGGAATGAATTTTCTTCTTTTCCCCCTCAGTACTGTTCTAGTAGAATGTGGGGTTGGCAATCAACATGTATCCACTTGTTTTTTTATTACTTTCATTTATGACATTATTCATTTTCCACAATGTTACCTTTGGCAGGTTATCAAGATGAATTTGTTCATGTAGGCAATTGTTGTAGTGTGTTAACACATTAGAATTCCAGGCAGAGCTCCACTTGTTGAGGACAGAAATCTACAATGTAATCTTGTACCTTTTACCACCCAGATGCCTTGAAAATTTTGATAGACTACTATATCTCTGCTGACTAGCAACTCAAGTTGGGAAACATTGGCCCTTCCACCACGGGAGAATAAAAGCCAGGGTCCTTGAAAGGAGGAGTTTATCTTCACAAATATTAGGATGTCATCAATGGGATGCTGATACTTCAACACTGGACTGTAAAACCAAAAAACAAAAAAAAAAAAATAGATGTAAATGAGTTGTTGTGTTTCATTAGCTTAATGTGGTCCTTGTCATGCGAGTTTATCGATTGCCCACTTTGTTTTGAACTGTTTGGAGCGGATGCGTAATGCGTAATCAATTTGTGGATTTGTTGTCATGACATTTTGTAACCTTACATTCATCACTAAGGCTATGTTTGGTTTGAAGGAAAATGTAAGAAAAGGTAGGGAACCTTTACAAACCTTGCTTCACTTTCTTTCCCTTCCTTTTCCAACCATTTTCTTCAAACCAAACATAGCCTAAGAGTCATTTGATTTGGGGGAAAAGGTTGGAATGGGCCAAATGTTTGGTTAGACAGAATCAGAATCCCATTCTCATTCCAGGTGGAATGACATTTCCCTAATCCCTATATGAGGGAATGGCCATTCCCTCCCCCTCCCCAGGAATGAGAATCCATTCCTGCCCATTCTGATTCTGATTTCAAATCCAGTCTGAAACAGACAGGTGAAGGGAATAGACCATTTTGATTCCGATTCTGATTCTGACTGAACCAAACGGGCCCTAAATGACACAGGCTGCGGTCCCAGCCCATGAGTTAGGTATTGAAATATTCAGCTAGCAGGAAGAAACCCAAATCAGAATCGGATGATGTGTTCCCAAATTGGGGTTCCAAATTCCAATGGATCGGGGCCGGGGTGGGACTTGACTTTCTCCATATACTACTCCGAGTACTGTCGGATCTGGGTCCAGCCAAGCGGTTTCAAACTCGATCCACCAGCACCAAATGCTTGGTGTTGTGTTAATCGGGTATTAGGAAATCGGCAATTTTCATATTAGAATAAATAAATCGCAAAACATTTTATTTTAAATGTAAAAGGACAAATATGAATTTCATGACTTATCTCCTGTAAATTTCAAGATGCATGTCGAGTTAGAGTATATGCCAACTGGATGTAGATGGATCTGATTCCTGACGGGCCTAAAATCAACGGACCTGGATTGGATCCAATTATGATCAAATCCATAAACTTACGTCAGTTATTATCCCAATCGTTACCAAGGGTGATCATGGGCTGGATGGGCTTGAGCTGAGCTTAGGACCTACGATAAGGGGCATACCCCGGTCCCCGGACGTGCTGTATAAGTCTATAATTAATATATTTGACTGGTTTCAGACTCACCGTCACCAAATTCTGGGTGCTAAGTCTAATCGAATGCAATTGGAAATAAATAAATTACAAGACATTTTAAAAATAAAAGGACAAGTTTCCCGTCTTCCTCCTACAAAATTCAAGGTTCAGGTTCAGGTACACACTCATTTATCAAGTTCAAGTACGGTTTCCTGATGGGACCTCAATCTATGGGCCCCAATTGGGCCATACTGTGATTGGATCTTAAGGCTGCAACTTGGGCCGGTTGGCCCAAATCCAACCCAAAAAAGTTGGGTTGGGCCAGGTTGATGTTCGGATTAGGGTTAGGGTTGAAATTCATGAACTCGACTTTACTTTGGGTTGGGTTAGGATGGACCCCTTAGCCAATCCAAACCTGACTCTATAGTACATGTCATATATATTATATGTAATATATAACATACATTGATTTGTTTAGATGCATGACATTTGTATAACCCCCACCACATAGTATCACGTATTTCTTTTAAGATAATCACTTCACTTAATGCTAATAAGAAAGACTAAAACCTTAATAACATTATTTTATGCTTTTTAAAAATTTTTATTTTATGCTTTATCGTAAGTGATAACTCACAATAAACTGTAGCCATTTCTAACACTTGTTTTTTCTGAATTTTGTATCAAAAGAACAAAAAAAAAAAAACATCAACAAATAAATACTAATGAAACATAGGATTAATATGTATATATAGTGAAAGATGAGTTAAGATCTAAAATCTAGAAAGTATGAGGTTTTAAGGGATGGGAAGAAGGTTGGGTTGGTCCCAACCCAAAATTGATTTTGGGTTGGATTGGGTTAGGGTTGAATGAATTTAATTAGGGATAGGGTTAGGCTTAGGGTCGGGGTTTAGAACTTAAGGTTGGGCTAGGGTTGGCCTCAACCCGACCTAACCTGGCCGACTTGCACCCCTATCGGATCTACAAACGCACGCATGCCAGTTATTATCCTGATTGCCATCTATTCTAAGTAGGAATAGCAATATTTGGGTTGACTTTTCATATACAAATGGCCACATATTATTCATATTATTAGAAAAATACAATATTGGGATTATTAAGTATTTCCAATTTTACAGGTAAAAACTGAAAACCCAATCCAGAGGGAGAAGATCATCATCTCTCATCTCTGTATGAATTACGAACCACATCCTATAAATGGCATAAACATTGATACAGCAGAAACGAAAAAGCAACCTGGAAATCAAATTAAACTGTTGAAACCGGAAAAACTTAAACTTTCTTATTTATATCCGGTTGATCAAGTGGTTCATTTTTGTCTTCCGCTGGGTTCATGTGTTCCCTTCATCATGGCTACAAACTCCTCATAATTGATTTTTCCATCCTGCATAGTATAATCCATGTATGAAGCTCAAATATTTCTTATGTCATGGAAATAGGGAACAAAGATAAAGAGAAAAGGAAAAGGAAAAAAAAATGAAAGGACGTTTACAAATTAAAGAAAAAAAAATACTCACTTTATTTGTGTCGACATCATTAATTATTTCATCTATAGTAGCTTCATCACCCATTTTATATTGAGTCAGCGCATGTCTCAGTTCATCTCTTGTGATAAACCTGGTGAGAGCAAATTAAAATAGGTAAGGTATATGACTTTTTAATACATATCATAATTAGGGCCATGACCAAAATGGTGGAAAGTGCAGCAAAAGATCAGATACTGGATTTCACGTGGCTCAATTTTTGGAGCCAAGAAAACACAGTGCTTGGGAAACAGATTTTGTAACTCTTTTCCATCCCGATTTTCTTTTTCTGCCCCAATCCCAACACAGTTTAAATGTTTTCTCACCCTTTGGCCTATTTTAAAAAATTATCAAGTATTCCATTGAGTCATCCTGATTCAATTTTCAAACATAAAAATAGGAGGATTCTTCTCAATCAAGTGTAAGGACTAAACATCCAGAACTTCACCAAGTGGATTATAAAAATCCCAGAAGAAGCATCCAATTAATCATCTACTTTTCACGAACAACAATCCACATAGAATCCCACTAGCTGTGCAATGGGATTGGGACCTCAGTTGATATATCTATTTTTATTGTACCATGCTTCTAATCCTTTTCTTCTACATGTGAACCATCCAACCTTCAACATCAAGCTAGTAGGTAAACCGGAAAAAATTAAACTGAGGTCTACTATAGCAAAATTAAATACTAACCCACTGCCATCTTTGTCAAAATACTGAAAAGCCTTGAATAAATTATCTTCTTGCTCTAGCCTATGGCGATGCATGGTAGCAGCAGCAAATTCAATGTAATCAATGGTCCCATTCTTGTCGACATCGGCCTGAGAGCTCGAAAAAAATGTTGAACATCAGGCATATAAAAAATACTGAAAAATTAATGTCAAAGAGACAGTTATTTAGTATCTTACAGCATCCATCAACTGCTTGATTTCATTCTCGGTTAGCTTGGATCCCAGTCTAGACAAGCCAGTCTTCAGCTCTTCATAGGTAATTGCACCACTACGATCAGTGTCCATGTTGTAGAACATTTGTTGCAATCCCTTGATTTCCTCTTCTGAAAGGTTTTCTGCTATTACCTTAAATAATCCAACAAACAAATTCAGAATCATGGAGATGTGATATTATACGTTGGCCACATGGAAATTACTTATGATTATTGGAATTTAACATCAGTTATTGAGTGCCCACAAGGTGGGCCACGTAGAAAAGGCATATATTATTGATCATTGGGATCCAACTCATGCATGTGGTTGGTTAATATGGTCTTTCATCAGATGGAAGGTCTGGATCTATTACATCCTCATTCGACGTTACAAAACCTCTCTTCAGTGCAGGCTTCAAAGCCAGTAGAGGAGTACAATGTACATCTTCTACCTAGAACTTTTTACTGGAGTTGTAAGGTACAACTGAATGTTGGTTCCCTAAATGTTAGCATATAATTTCATAAGGATAGATCCAAAGATGTGACAAGACTTGTAACTACTGAGTAACTAACCTTCAGAGCCATCTTCTTTAGCTTGTTCATTGTTCTGAATTGCTTCATTCTAGTCAGAACAGCACTATCAAGAGGTTTATCAGAAGCTTCACCATCTTCTTTCAACCATGGATGCTCTGTTTCATAGACCATCAGACCAATAATATCAGTAGGTCTATAAGTTCCATTTCTTAATGGCAAGTGCACCACATATTCTAATATGGACTAGTTTTGACTAGTCTTAATCTTGCCTGCTGGGATAAGCCATAACTGAAAGGCATTAGGCAAAAGAGTGGAAATAGCCTGGTTTTTGGGCTCTGAATTACTCAGTATATGGCTTCATCACTGAAGGGAAGGACAGAACCATAATTGTTTCTTCCTATCATAATTTAATATGTAATTCATTACTAACCAAGAGCTTGGGAAGCAGTAATCCGTTTTTTGGGGTCACGTGTTAACATCTTCTTGATAAGATCCTTTGCAGAATCTGATATAGAAGGCCAGGGTGCACTTTTGAAGTCAATTTGTCCTTCTATGATGGCAGCAGATATTCCTTGATTAGTCTCTGAAAAGATTCAAACCAATTCATTCATTAGACAAGTTCAACTATTAGTTTCAGAAATGAGAAACCTAAAACCAAGTCCATGGTTCATATGCATGATGTAGGTGGACTGTTCGAGTGCCTTTATGTCCACCACATATACCTCATGGACAGTTGTTATGTTTATGAAAGGCCTCTTGATTCTTGGATATGGCAACTCTAACTCTAAAAAAAAATATCTTTCCCACAAGAGAAAATGATTAAAACAGAAATTGTTTACCAGCCCAAAATGGAGGAGAACCACATAGAAGAATGTATAAGATGACTCCTGCACTCCAGACATCTATTTCCTTTCCATAGTTCCGGTACAACACCTCTGGAGCCAAATAGTAAGCACTTCCTACAAGCTCATGGTAAGATTTACCTGGAAAGCATTTGTCAAGGCATGAATTCATTTGAGAAATTTTAAGGAGCTGCTACATTACTATAAACATGTCATAAGAGTTTGGATCTGCTGACCACAATACACTGGCCACATGACAGCCACAAGACACTACAGAAGCACATGGGGAACATCTCCCAGAATGACAACATACAAGCATGAGAAATGTTCCCGATGAGTGTCCGTAGGGTCTTGTGGCCAGAAGATCTGGACTCATGTCATAAACAGGGGGCAAAAGATATAATCAGGAATGTGTTTCAAATGTCAAGCACAGAAAGAATTGGATTGACTAACCTTTTCTATAACTACCCAAGTGATTGGCAGTTTGGCATATGTTAAATGCCTTACTTATGAGGTCTTGGCAGGTCAAGGAATTTTCTTTCTTCTTGCTAAGGCAGTGGTCAAGGATTTAAGTATCCTAACCATCATAGGTTAGGTGAGCATGAAAAGTCTAAAATGGATTGGATTTTTATAGGATATACTGAGATTCAAATTCAATTCATTAATATTCAGATTTGAATCTTATCCATTGGATTCAGTTTGGACTAAGATCATATTCAGATATTGCATATCTTTAATAAATTAATTGGAAAAAATGATCAGAATATGATATATTAATAGAAAGATGAACCAAGAATCATATATCATGAACAAAATGACTTAAAAATAACTTCTATGAAACTTAGACCTACGACTCTTTGGTTAAGATACAGCATTCAAACCAACTTTACTAATATCATTAGATTTGAATAAAAATCAGATTGGACCGAGGTGGATCAATGTGCAATCCAATTATAAACAAATTGAATTTGGGTTGCGTTTCATTACTTGTTGAGTTTTGGATATGTTTGAGATCAAGCCGCTGTTTCTTTTGAATGTCTCATAATCAAGTTTCTGAGTTTGCACACTGAAAATTCTTGTTATCTATCAAACACAATATACTAATATGAACATCATTCAATGGATAGGATGGAGAATGGTTTTTTGTTTAGTAGTTGGTAAAAATGGAGTGGAATGACTAAATAGAATTCCTATAGCCAACGTCATATAGTTGTGATAAGGTTTAGTTTAGTTGAACTAAGGTATTAACAATGGAGGCAGGTTTAAACCCCAATTCTGGGGATCAACTGAGGGTGGGCCTTGGCGCAACGGTTGGGTTGCTCCATTGCAACCTAGACGATAAGGGATCAAATCTTGGAAACAGCCTCTCTGTATATTTGCAGGGTAAGGCTGCACGCATCTGCTCTCTAAAAATGACAAAAAACAAATTTTATAGTTTAGAAACTATACAATTTACGGAACATGATAATAACCAGATGAAATTATGTTTCTTAAAACTAGAAATTCAAGAATATGTTTTTGGTTTTGTTTTATTTGTTGAACCTGCAACATGAAAGACAGTTCACATTGGAGAAGACCCCCTACATCTTCCTTCTAAAAGGAACTTCATTCTTTATCGAGAAATTGTGTTACTCCAGTGACAAAAAAAAAAAAAAAAACAAACGAAGAAGAAAAAGAATCCAGTCTAACCGGGTCAAAATTCAACCTGATTGCAACTTTCATATTAGAGGAAACTCAATCAAAGAACAATGGAAGTGTCAAAAAGAAACAACCAATATAGGTATCACACCCACCCAATGCATAATTTAGAAAATAAGAACAAAGAAAGAAAGAAAGAAATTGCAGCTAACCTTCTTCTATGAAGACAGAGAGTCCAAAATCAGTAGCTTTGAGCGGAGAATTCTCATCCCGACTAACCAGCAAAAAATTTTCTGGCTTCAAATCCCTATGCATCACCCCCATGAAATGGCATACATGGACTACATTCACAACTTGTCGACCTATGGTCGCCGCTTCACGCTCTGAATAATTTCCCTTTGCGGTAATTCGGTCAAATAGCTCTCCACCCAAGCATAGCTCCATTACTACATGAACATTCTGCTTATCCTCGTAAGCTCCCTTGAACTCCACAATATTGGGTTGCCCCGTGAGATGCTGAAGGAGCATTATCTCTCTCTGAACATCTTCAATATCCCTCTTATTCACAAGCTTCCTCTTTGATATTGACTTGCAAGCATACTTCCGTCCGGTTGCCTTTTCGGTGCAAAGATAGGTGATCCCAAACTGCCCCCTTCCCAGCTCTTTATCAAGATCATAAATTGAGGTTAAATCGCAAATGGGTTTTCCTAGAATGGTTCCAATCTGGGAAGAAGAAGTGGCTTTGGATAGTGAAGTTGGAAGAGAAGCTGCGTCCGATTGTTGATGAGGTTTTTTGCTTTGTTGTTCTTTGGTTTTCTTGGACGGTTGTTGAGTAGGCCTGTCTGGAGATGAAGTGATTGGAATTTGATTGGTTTTGGTGAAACAGATACCCATTATGGGATATGGATTTTTTTTTTTTTTTTTTGGCTTTTCTGCGAAATCTCGGTTGATGGGTGTAAGATTTCTTGCTGGTGTATTTAAAAATTTTGGAGATACAGTTCTTGCATCCGTTTGCTTTTCTATGTGCTTTGCTTGCTGTGCTTTTTATAATATATTGGGTTGTTCTCGTTATTACAGTTCATCACCTTTTCATTGCTACAAGTTCTTTGCTTTGAAATGGAGAAAGACAGAGAGGGAGAAGTTCGCCGTGTCCGTATTGATTTTCACGATTCGAAGTGTGAATTTTTGAATTTAATGAAGTCTAATTTTTTTGGTGGAATAATGAAATTTAATAAAACACTTAAATTTCTTAACATCAGCTCCATAACTCAGACTACCTTTCTGTTTAATTTCATAGAAACGAACTTTCACTACCGAATATCAGAGAAAACCCATAAACGGTGTGCATTCCATGACAGTTTGGGTTGAGTTTAACAAAACAAAAACTAAGGAAAAAGGGAACCAGTGTAGAATAGATATGAAACAGAAAATTCCCATTTACCATTACCAGGACAGTACTCAGAGAAGGTGAATTTTGAAACCAATTGTGTCAAGATAGATTAGTTAGATAGTTTGACTGTGATCGAAGTGATTCCATTTGGCAATTCGATGAGATAGCAGGCTTCATGGGGGGAGTGGACTGCTCTGCCGTGCCGATGGGAGTTGTCAATTCTCCCTTTCTTTTTTCCCATCCGAGACCCAGCCACTTGTTTCATGGGTTTCTACTTTCCACTAACAAAGAACAAATTCTATCTACTTTTGGCTGAATTTAAAATATCTGGTTAATTTTGAGAGTTGGGAACCTAATTTCATCAATATTCTTCCAGGTCGAGTCCATAGTACTATACTAGTTGGTTTTCCATCTCTTTTAGCCGAATCTGATAGTTAAGACCGAATGAATTAAAACCAATCTTTAGAACATGATGGCCCCTCAGAACCGCATCAGTGTTACTTTGGAAAGCAAACTTTTAAGATTCCTTGCTTTTCTTTGCGAAGTCAGTAATTTAGGATTCTAGGTAAGGGGGTAGTGCAGTCTGAAACGGGCCCAGGCCCAGCTGTAAACGGTATCCGATGGTTCAAACTTCAAACTTGATTAGCCAACTGATGGGGTCGGGGTGGTTCAGTTCAGTTTAGAGGTTTTTTTTTTTAAATATAAAAACCTCCCCTGAGATTTCTGGCAATCATATAAACCTCCCCTCCAATTTCATTTTAAGAAAAACTTTCCTTGAATTTTTGAAAAACTCAAACACAAACCTTCTTTCCATCACCGATAGAGACGGAAAACGTTTCACTCATGCATTATTTTTCAAAATATCCATTTTACCTTTACATATAATTTTATTAAAATAATTCTAAAACTCTTTCGATCTCCCACCCCTAAACTAGCTTCAATCCATGAATACATCCAGAGATTTCCATCTATATCTACTCTAGTTTCAAAAATCGAAAACACATCGATAGAGGAATCATTGTGATCTCCAAACAGTGACCACATTGGTCTGGACCTTCTGTCAAAAAGTTGCAGGGCTCCATCATCAGAGGTGAGGGTGGCTTAAATAGCTGAAACGTAACAGGAATCCCACCTGTCCAGTAATTGACATTGCTTTCCCATTTTAGTTTCAACTCACCTGAGACATCCATGGAGGGATTGTAGTAACTTGACGCAAAGTTTCTATTAGCAGCTTGGAGTGTTTGACCAACATATACATTATGTCCTTAAATTCCCCAGCTTGAACCTTGTCTCCTCAATGACAAACTTTTAGGCTTCAATATTCAGACCTTCTCCAAATTTCGGATGCCATGGTTGTTATGCTCATGGATCATCTACCGATGTCTCTAATTCTAGCGGTGGATGTATAGAATTCACATATGAACTAGCATAAAATTTTGCCCAATATTCTCCATACTGCATTGTAGTTTACATCCTTTGGTCTATCTAACAAATCACACCCTTCCACTTGATCATTGCACATGTAGGAAATGGATTCAATGATCGTTCGACCCAGGAACCAGACCCCTGACTGGTTTGTTGTTCAGGTCAGTTTTAAAAACCTTGGTTTAAATGATGAATCTTGGCATGTTAGAAAGGGTAAGCAGAGAGTTTCTATTTATGATCCTGGAACTTAGGTTCCTCATTTTGAGTCGGGCATGGTGTTTATGAACACCAAATACTGTAAGGAGGTGTTTATAAAGCATGCAATAAAAAGTAGAAGGGACATTACTTTTACTTTCAGGAAGTGTGAGTCAAGAGAATTAGGGTTGTGTGCACATATAAAGATTGCCCATATATATTTTATGTAGCATTGGACAAGAGTGGTGAAAATGAAAGTTTTTAGTTGAAGACATGTTCTAGAGCACAAATTGTGAGTGGAGTTTTAAAAACATAAGGCTGCATTTTGTAGAGGTGTAAAATCGAAGCAGGGTAAACTTTGCACCCCGGTTCGATTTTGTAGACATTTGGTAAACATGTATTTATTACATGTTTACCATTAATTACAAATACATCAAAATTATGGATGTATTTATTACATATCTCTCTCTCTCTCTCTCTCTCTCTCTCTCTCTCTCTCCTTCTTCTCTCCTAACATCAGGTGGTGTCTATCGACGGCATCGGAGCAAATCTAGATGGGCGTCTGCTTGGACATTCTCCTTCACCGCTACCACCTCCAACGGGGTTTGATTGGGGGAACTTGGAGGCCAATTCAAATGGGCGTTCTCTGCTTAGGCATTCTCCTTCACCGCCACCACCCCCAATGGGGTTTGATTAGGGGAACTTGGAGGCTGATTCAGATGGGTGTTCTCTGCTTCTGGGTGTTTTGCTCCTCCACGGCTGCAGCATCTTGTCGTTCCTAGGCGTTTTGCTCCCATTGGTGGCTCTGTCTTTTTGCCCCTTCTCTCTTCAGAACTTCTAAGAAGGGAGCTCTTTACACCCTGGTTCCACCCTTCTTTCTCTCTCTCTCCCTCCCTCTCTAATAAATCTCTCATTGGAACAAGATATAACCAAACAGGACGAATGTAAATGGGCACAATGGCCGGTCCATATTTTACACTCTCACCGAACCATCCTTCTCAACTCCATCGGTGTAAAAGTGCATTTACACCAGAAACAAATGCAAACTAAGGGTATATTCAAAGGTTGTTATGGGTTGGTTAACAGAACAGAGCTGAGTCATTTGGGGGGCATTCTTTTTTTCGGATTTTGAGAGGGGGAAAGTTTGGTTCCCATTGATCAAGAATCCCATGTTCTTTTTTCATATTTATGTGGGAACCAGTGAAAGTTTATTTTCTTGGGTATCACTTACCCCCATCTCTTAGGTAGATAAATAACTTTCCCACCTTGGGGGGAAAATTGCCAACAATTGAATGGGACAAAAATGCCCCTTTTAATAATGGATTTTTATGGCTAAAATGGTCATTGCCTTATTTACATGAGAAATAAAAGAATATAGATAAATGCACTTACCCAGGCAACAGCATTTACCTAGATAAGTAACTACCGAAAAGCAAACGAGACTTGGTGCTACAAGGATTTCCTAAAAAGGCAAACTGGTTAACAAGTAACATGACTATTAGCTCGTATTGGATGAGTAGGTTAGTGAATTTTATGGCTGACAAGAGGTACTAAGAAAGCATCTATAATGGCACCCTTGTAATGCTCTTTTTTTAGTGTGTTCACACTTGTACTTTCAAGGGAGGTTGCACCTCGTGCCCCTCTTTGGAATGGTTGTAAACTTGTAACTTTTCTTATATATTGGTAATAAAATAACTTCTTAATTAAAAGAAAAACCTATAAACCAAATGATTTGGGGAATATCATTAAAAAAGGCGTATCAGCACGCTGATACAATATAATACGCCTGATAAGGGACACATTGTATTGATACTTTCAACCTTATACATTCATGCATACATATATATATATATTAAAGTCGATCTTGTCATGTCAGCAGGCCTCACTTTTCTCCCCACCCTTCTCTATTTTATGTTTTTTTTTGGATTTTTTATTTTTAAAAAATAACCTAAATAGCCAATTATCTATAAGACTTTCACCACTCTTCATTAAGTAACCATTAACTCTTTCTTTTCTTTGTCATTAACTCTAGTTATTTTCCTCATTAGCCATGCCATTAAGTTACTTAAAATTCATTAACTATTCTTTTAATTCTTGAATAATAAACCAAAAACACTTTACCATGGGATGATAATTTCAGCCCAGCCCGGGCCCAGATCTACAAACTTCAAGACTGGACTTGCAGCCCACAAACAAGGAAAAGTTTAAAATTTAATTAATAAATAATATTATGAACAGCTAAATCACCTAACCATAATGCTTAGGTTGTACATAGGGGGCACTTTTTGTTTCAATTTCAATTAAGAAAGCGTATGCATCGTATGTGTCCCAACAAGAAATCTAACACACGCTGAAACAAGGGGGGAGTGCTTTTGTTACTTGCATTTTACAAAAGCAAAAGAATAGACAATTACAGTCAAAGAGCCCTTCGCTTGACAATTGTAGGATGGCAAGTGGAGAGAAATTTCTGTTTGTTCTTTCCCACACTATAAGGTAGATGGGTCACTAAAGGCAAACGGGATTTCCTACTGCCCCCTCTCTACCCACCATGAATTGCAGCCACACATCTCTATTATGAATTGAGAGATGTGTGGCTACAATTCACGGTGGGTAGAAAGTGGGTAGGAAAGGGCAATGGTTTATGGCTTCAAGCTAAACAAATGTACATAAGAGGGATCTTTGACGTTCAAGGTAGGGCTACCAATCTGTTTCTCTTATTTTCTATCAAACCAAACATAGGTGTTTGGGAGTACTTGAAAATAAGTGCTTATTTAGGTGGGGACCATACCATTAAGCACTTATTTGTATTTGGGAAATAAGCCTGAAGTAAATGCTTATTTTAAAAATAAAGGGCTTATTTTTTTAAGTCCAAATTTCCAGCTTTTTTTAAAGTATTCATACAATAAGCACTTATTCAATTTTTTCTCCCAAAATTGACCCTAGTTAATTTTTAGAATACTAATTATAACCCTTTTACAAAAACAATTTTACAAGTACACTTTTATAAAAGTAATTTTATGAAAGCACTTTTATAAAAATACTTACAAAATCACTTTTATAAAATTACTTTTACATGAAAGCACTTTTATAAAAGTACTTTTATGAAAATATTTTTATAAAAGCACTTTTACAAAAATATTTTTATGAAAACACTTTTACAAAAGCACTTTTATAAAAGTATTTTATGGGAATGCTTTTATCAAAGTACTTTTATAAAATCAGTTCTATCAAAGTACTTTAATTATTCACTTTGGATTGGATATTTTGAAATTTTAAAAGAAAATGAAGGACCAAAGAGTCACAATTGCTTATTGGAGAAGAAGACCACCAAACACCCAATATAAAAATAAAATAACACTTGAAAAAGTTAGGTGTCAAATACAAATAAGTGCTTATTTGAATAAGCACTTGTTTTTAACATAAGCACTCCCAAACATGGCCATAGACTTAGCAACCCACTTCTCTTATTTGAAACCAATAAAAGCTTAAGGTTTCTTATTTATATCCAGTTGATCAAATGGTTCATCTTTGTCTTCCATTGGGTTCATGTGTCCCTTTCATCATCGCTACAAACTCCTCATAATTGATTTTTCCATCCTGCATATGTAGTGAAAGTGAAAGTCAGATAACGTATCTCTTATGTGGTGAACAGAGGGAACAAAGTTAAAAGGGGGAAAAAATTGAAAGGACGTTTACAAATCAAAGAAACAATACCCACTCTATTTGTATCCACATCATTAATTATTTCATCTATAGTAGCTTCATCACCCATTCTATATTGAGTCAGCGCATGTCTCAGTTCATCTCTTGTGATAAACCTGGTGAGAGCAAATTAAAATAGGTAAGGTATATGACTTTTTAATGCATTATCATACTTGGGGCCATAACCAAAATAGTGGAAAGTGCAGCATAAGATCACTCTGGATTTCACGTGGCTCAATTTTTGGAGCCAAAAAAACACAGTGCTTAATAAGGAAAAAAAAATGGGAATGCTTTTCCATCCTGATTTTCTTTTTCTGCCCCAATCCGAACGTGAACACAGTTTAAATGTTTTCTCAGTTCTCACACTTTGGTCTACTATAGTTAAACCAGAAAAAATTAAACCGAGGTCTAGTATAGAAAAATTAAATACTAACCCGCTGCCATCTTTGTCAAAATACTGAAAAGCCTTGAATAAACTATCTTCTTGCTCTAGCCTATGGCGATGCATGGTAGCAGCAACAAATTCAATGTAATCAATGGTCCCATTCTTGTCGACATCAGCCTGAGAGCTCGAAAAAAATGTTGAACATCAGGCATATAAAAAGTAGTGAAAAATTAACGTCAAAGAGACAGTTATTTAGTATCTTACAGCATCCATCAACTGCTTGATTTCATTCTCGGTTAGCTTGGATCCCAGTCTAGACAAGCCAGTCTTCAGCTCTTCATAGGTAATTGTACCACTACGATCAGTGTCCATGTTGTAGAACATTTGTTGCAATCCCTTGATTTCCTCTTCTGAAAGGTTTTCTGCTATTACCTTTAATCCAACAAACAAATTCAGAATCATGGAGATGTGATATTACATGCACATCAGCCACATGCAAATAATTTTATGATTATTGGTATCTAACATCAGTTATTGAGTGCCCACAAGGTGGACCAGTAAAAGAAGCCATATATGGTCTCTCATCAGATGGAAGGTCTGGATCTATTACATCCCCATTCGATGTCACAAAACCTCTTCAGTGCATGCTTCAAAGCCAGCAGAGGAGTGCATCTTCTACCTAGAACTTTTTACTGTAAGTTGGCAACTGGAAGAGTTTATGGTAAATGAAAATTTTGGAAAAATAAAACCAACAGAGTAAGCTAGAACTGATTGTTGGTTCCACAAATATTTGCATATAGTTTCACAAGGATAGATCCAAAGATGTAACAAGATTTGTAACTACCAAGTAACTAACCTTTAGAGCCATCCTCTTTAGCTTGTTCATTGCTCTGAATTGCTTCATTCTAGTCAGAACAGCACTATCAAGAGGTTTATCAGATGCTTCACCATCTTCCTTCAACCATGGATGCTCTGTTTCATAGACCATCAATTCAATAATATCAATAGGTCCATAAGTTCTATCTCTTAATGGCAAGTGCACCATGCATTCTAATGTGGACTAGTTTTTTTTTTTTTTTTTTTTTTTGTTTAGTCTTAATCTTGTCTGCTAGGATAAGCCATAACTGAAAGACACTAGGCAGAAGAGTGGAAAAGACCTGGTTTTGGGTCTCTGAATTACTCAGTATATGGCTTCATTACTGAAGGGAAGGACAACCATAATTGTTTCTTCCTATCAGATTTAATATGTAGTTCATTACTTACCAAGGGCTTGGGCAGCAGTAATCCGTTTTTTGGGGTCTTGTGTTAGCATCTTCTTGATAAGATCCTTCACAGAATCTGATATGGAAGGCCAGGGTGAAGTTTTGAAGTCAATTTGTCCTTCTAGGATGGCAGCATATATTCCTTTATCAGTCTCTGAAACAAATTCATTCATTAGACAAGTTCAACTATTAGTTTCAGAAATGAGAAACTAAAAGCAAATCCATGGTTCGTATGCATGATGTAGGTGGACTGATTGAGGGCCTGTATGTCCACCACACATACCTCATAGACAGTTTTTATGTCTGATGATAGGTTTCTTGAATACGGTAACTCCAAAAAAAAAATATTTTCCTGCAAGAGAAAATGATCGAAACAGAAATTGTTTACCAGCCCAAAATGGAGGATAACCACTTAGAAGAATATATAAAATGACCCCGGAACTCCAGACATCTATTTCCTTTCCATAGTTCCGCTTCAACACCTCTGGAGCCACATAGTAAGCACTTCCTACAAGCTCATGGTAAGACTTCCCTGCAAAGTAATTGTTAAAGCATAAATTCAGTTGAGAAATTTCAAGGGGCTGTTACATTACCATAAACATGTCATAAGAGTTTGTACCAGATGACAACAATACGCTGGCTACATGTGAGCCACAAGATGCTACAGAATTACATGAGAAACATCTCCCTTGAATGACAACATACAAGCACAAGATATGTTCTTGATGAGTGTCGTCTGTAGGGTCTTGTGGCCAGCCTATTGTGGTCAGCAGATCTGGACTCATGTCATAAACAGAGGGGAAGAGAATACAATCAGGAAAAATATTTCAAGTATCAAGCACAGAAAGACTTGAAATTCTTGAGATTGAATTTACAAACTTTTCCATAACTACCCAAAGTGATTGGAAGTTTGGCATTATGTTAAATGCCCTACTTTTGAGATCTTGGCAGGTCAAGGGTTTAAGTATCCTAACCATCCATCATATACAGTTTTAGAGGTGCTTGGGTGGCAGACTTTTGCACTTCGCACCCTGCCCATGATGGATTAGGTGGGCATGTAAAGTCTATAATGGGCAATTTTGTGTCCTGTACAAGACCAAACTAAATAGTTTAGGGCTGCAAACAGATATTAAACCTATGATTCTTTAGTTAAGATACAGCATTCAAACCAACTATGCGAATAAATAAATATATATATATATATATATATTTGAATAAAAATCAGATTGGATTGAGGTGGATTCATATACAGTCCAATTATAAAGGAATTGAATTTGGATTGCCTTGATTGGATTGGATTCACAAATTTGATGAACAAATACTATTTGCAGCCCTACCGGAGATGCTCATTTCAAGCCACCTTTTTTCCCTTCATTACTTGTTGAGTTTTGGACATGTTTGAGATCAAGCAACTGTTTCTTTTGAATGTCTCAGAATCAAGTTTCTGAGTTTGCACATTGAACATTCTTGTATCTATCAAACACAAATACACTATTGTGAACATTTTTTATGGATAGGATGGCTGAGTGGTATTTTGTATAGTAGCTAGTAAAAATGGAGTGGAATGACTGAATAGGAACCCTGTAGCCGATGCCATATAGTTGCGATAAGGCTTAGTAGAGTTGAATTGAGGTACTAACAATGGAGGCAGGTTTAAACCCCAGTTCTGGGGATCCACTGAGGGTGGGCCTTGGCATAGCGGTTGGGTTGCTCCATTGCGATCTGGGTGACCAGGGTTCAAATCTTGGAAGCAGTTTTCTGTGAGTCTGTGTATCTGCAGGGTAAGGCTGGGTACATCTGTCCCTCCCCAGACCCCACATTGGTGGGAGCCTTGTGCACTGGGCTGTCATTTTTACAGTGTTGTTCTACAACATGAATGTTTTTGTTTTCATTTGTTATTGAAATTGCCATATCAGTTTGGTAAGAAGGTAAATTTGGCATTGCAAAACTAACCCAACTTTGCATTTACATGAACCGTTTTACACTGCATATTTGTATCTTCCCAAAAGGAGCCGTAGGGACTAGGGAAAGTTTATTTTCCCGGTACATCTCCTAGGTGGGTTAACTTTTCCAAGGGGAAGGTTGCCAACATTTGAAATTGAATGAGACAAAAATTCCATTTTTAATAATAGATTTTTATCGCTAAAATGGTCATTGCCTTATTTGCATGAGAAATAAAAAAACATGGGTAATCCGTAAATGCATTTACTGTGAAAGTATTTCCCTAGAAAGACTTACCCGGGTAAGTGCATTTACCCGGATAAATAACTTACCAAAAGCGAACAGGGCAAAGGAACTTCATTAATTTCTTTATTGAAGTCATGTTGCACTAGTTAAAAGGAAAAACAGGGCATTCAAAATCATCTAAAGGAAGAAAAGTCCAGTCTAACCGGGTTAAAATTCAACCTGATTGAAACTTTCATATTAGAGGCATAAACTCAATCAAAGAACAATGGAAGTGTCAAACAGAAACGATCAATATAGGTATCACACTCACTCAATGCATAATTTAGAAAATCAAAGCAAAGAAAGAAAGAAATTGCAACTAACCTTCTTCTATGAAGACAGAGAGTCCAAAATCAGTGGCTTTGAGTGGAGAATTCTCATCCCAACTAACCAGCAAGAAATTTTCTGGCTTCAAATCCCTATGCATCACCCCCATGAAGTGGCATACGTGGACTACATTCACAATTTGCCGACCTATGGTCGCCGCTTCACGCTCTGAATAATTTCCCTTTGCGGTAATTCGGTCAAAGAGCTCTCCACCCGAGCACAGCTCCATTACTAAATGCACGTTCTCCTTATCCTCGTAAGCTCCCTTGAACTCCACAATATTGGGTTGCCCCGTGAGATGCTGAAGGAGCATTATCTCTCTCTGAACATCTTCAATATCCTTCTTATTCACAAGCTTCCTCTTTGATATTGACTTGCAAGCATACTTCCGTCCGGTTGCCTTTTCGGTGCAAAGATAGGTGATCCCAAACTGCCCCCTTCCCAGCTCTTTATCAAGATCATAAATTGAGGTTAAATCGCAAATGGGTTTTCCCAGAATTGTTCCATTCTGGGAAGAAGAAGTGGCTTTGGGTAGTGAAGTTGGAAGATAAGTTGGGCTCAATTGTTGTTGAGGTTTCGTGCTTTGCTGTTCTTTGGTAAATGAAGTCTTTGTTTTTGTGAAACAGTTACCCATTATGGGAGAAGGATTTTTTTTGCTTTTTCTGCGAAATCTCGGTTGCTAGGTGTTAGATTTCTTGCCTCTGTATTTAAAGGTTTTGGAGATACAGGTCTTGCATCAATTTGCTTTTCTTTGTGCTTTGCTTTCTTTGCTTTTTATCCTCTATTGATTGTCCTCGTTATTACAGTTCATCATCACCTTTTCATTGCGTTCTTTGCTTTGAAATGAAGAGAGAGACAGAGAGGAAAAATTCGCCGTGTCGGTATTGATTTTCCCGATTCGAAATGTTAGGTGTCAGAAGTTGGAGATAGATATAGAGCCATAGAGGAAAGTAGGAAACAATATATTTGAATTTAATGAATTTGATAAAACATTTTTTTAACATTAGCTTATTGCGGTATTGCCTATTGTGCAAGTCGGGCTGGGCCGGGTTTAAGCGTCCTAACCAAGATTTTAAAATCGAACCGAATAATAAATCGTCTAAAGGTCGGTTTTCAGGTTGAACAGTTTGACTGTTTGAATCAAATAAACGGCCTGTTTTGACAAAAAAAATAAAAAAATAATCAAATACCATTAGACAATTGAAATGGATCAACCACCCGTCAACAGTTTGCTGACTAAATCAACAATTTTTTTTATCAAAAAATGGTTATGAGGTAAAATGGAACTGATCAAGCTGAATTTTCTAATCCGACCGTCTGATCCGGTTTTGAAAACCATGGTCCTACCACTAAAGCTTGAGCCTTAAGACATAAGGCACGAGTGCAAGCTTAAAGTCTGAACCGTTGGCTCAATCCAAATTAAAATTTGATGTATTTGGATTGGTTTCGGGCCCAAGCCGGGTTAGGATTAATTAATCAGTTTATACTAAAATTATATATAAATATGATTGTATACATACTAAGGGCAAGGGTAAGGCCTCGACCCGACCCGAAAATTAATAAAATCCAAAAGTTTGGCCCAAACTCCAAGCCCTGCCTGCCTGCCTGTATAAAATTTTAAGCTGGATCCGCCCAAATTCCACTCCAATAACCCTTAATTTCATATAAACGAACTTTCTATCAGAGAAGATCTATGGGGTAAATAAATTAGAAAATATAGCGGTGTGCATTCACACTCATTGATGGGGTTGAATATGAACTTTGGGAGTAGGAGGTTTGATTTATACAACCAATGTAGAATGGATATGAAACAGAAAATTCCCATCTACCATTACCAGGACGGTATTCAGAGCAGTTGAATTTTGGAATCAATTGTGTCAAGGTAGATTTGTTAGATCGTTTGATTGTGATAAACACAAGTGATTCCCGTGGCAATTCAGTGAGATGGTCATGGGGGAGGGGGACTGCTCTGCCAGCCGATGAGGATTGAATGAATTAATACCAATCTTTGGAACATGATGGACCCCAACAACGGCATCTGTGCACTCAGTATTATGTTGCTGGGGAAGTAAACATTTAAAATTCTTTACTTTTCTTTGCAAACTCAGTCATTTAGGGTTCTAGGTAAGGGCTGGTGCAAACTTGAATTTGAATTCAATCCCATAAAAATGATCCGAGTTTGATCCATATATAATTGGATTAAATATGGATCCACTGTTATCAAATCTGATATAATTTTTGGCTTATAATATGACATAAATCATTTCTGTTTAATTTATATATACTTGTGTAATAGCATGTGCTCATGTGTATAAATACGTATTCGCTATATATATGATATATGGTATTTGCATTTAATCTTTATAACCCATGGTATATGCTTGAATGTTGTGTTTTTACTCAATTGTCGTAAGCTCAAGTTTCATATAAGTAATTTTGGGTTTATTTTGTCCATAAAACACAATATCAAGGTCATTTTTGGTTGATTTTATTAATAATATTTTGATTTTTTTGTTTAATTTATCTACATTATTCCAATATACAATTGCAATCCAAATTCAATTTAATTCCAATATAAATTAGATGAATAAGATACGATTCAAATTTATATATAAAAGAATCAAATTTGAATCATATATGCAATTGGGGTCAATCCATTTGCAACGCTAGACCCAATCCTTAAATCGGGTGACAGTTGATCCATATTGGGTTTGGGGTTAGAAATCTCATCCATGTTCTAGGATCTAGGTTGGAATGGGCTTTTTAGTTCAGGATTTGAAGACCCAACCCGAAGCAAGTCCAGCAGTACATGCATCAAAGAGTAATCACATTGCGTTGGTCCTGACTCCAGAACCTCAATCAACCCACCCAACAAAAAGAATCTAGCATTAAAACAATATTCTCTATTGATGAAAAGCAAATAAATTAAGTAAAAGAAGGAATCTTAGCAATTTTTTTTTTTGGTAAGGAATCTTAGCATTAAACTTATCTCCTCATTGTTGAAAGGTACAAACCATAAAAGATTTGCAATCAGTATTAGGCATTTCCTTTGAGAAATATTCCGTTATATGTAAACTTCATTAAATCTCGTGGCTATCCCATTGGTGAATCCGAATTCAGTCCTCACAAAGCTTTTTATTACACCGTCCTTATAGCCACTTGTAGCTGTGCACAAGAAAGCAACATCACATATTCACAGTACCAAACATAACCTTCATATGAACCCGGATTTACTATTTACTTTCTCTATCCCGCCCTACCCACAGTACACACAGCATATCTCGCGGGTGGTGATGGAGAATGTATGTCCTTGATCTCTTATCAGGTTTTTTTTTTTTCTTAACCCCAAAATTTACTGCAGATGGAGATGGAGGAACGACCACCTTAGAATTTATTAATCAACCAATTTCAAAAGGAAGGTAAAACAATACAGGAAAAGATACAGCCCGCCTTACCCTATGTCCTCAAGGGTAAAATAATACAGGGAGGACATAACCAACTTCTAACTGGGTAAAGCTTAATTTTTATGGGTCTTCTAAGAGTAGGATGTATCTTTAAAAGCAAATCCAAAGAAATATAAATATATGTTCTTTTCATAATTTTTGCAAAAGAAATGTTGTGAGATATAAAATATCTCTCTCTTTTATTTCTTTCATAAACACTCTCAATTCTTTTATGTGAATAGAACCCAAAAATCTAATGTACTTGTACAAGTTATTCACACTTGAGGATTTCAAACTTGCGGACTTGTACACCTCAAGAGTCAGAGATACAAAAATTTGCAACCTTGCATGTGGCTTTGAAGTCCGGAAGTAATCATTCTTGAGTAGGGGTGTCAATGGACCGGTTTTGGGATGGACTCCATTCAAATCAAAATTCATTTGGACGGACCAATAAGACATGTTGAATTTGGATGGACTGGACGGACTAATATGACATATTGGATTAGACCTGGTCCGTCCATAATGAATTTATATTGGATTGGGCTAATATCTAGTCTATTGATAGAAGATTAGAACATAGGTGTCAATGGACCAGGTTTGAGTTAAAACCAATCTAAATTAACAGGAATTTGAACAGATTGAACAGTCTCTGGACCAATCCAAAATGGTCCATAATATTCATTGGACTAGGTTAGACCAGGTCCATTTGTAATAGACTCACATTGGACTGGACCGGATTGGACCAAATCCAGTCCAATTGACACCCCTAATCTTGAGAACATGCAACCATGAGTGAAAAAGTTGATATTTGATTTTCTAGTTTAGTCCTTCATTTAATGGTGGATGGACTTGATCTGTTCTTCTAATCCGATACATGTGGAGTTGTGGACTGTGGACTTGATCTGCAATGATGCAATTAGAGTGGGCTTTGTTAAAGTTTAAAAGAGCCCAGGCCCAATACTGCGTAAATTCTTTGGATGTTGTACCAGTATGGGTGCAACTTGGGCGAATTGAGTTGGGTTGAATTTCAATCCAAGCTAACCCTAAAAGTGCAAACCTCGGGTTCGGCCTGATCCAACTGAGATTAAGCCCAATTTTATCAACCTAGGCCTTGGGTTGGGCTTGGGATTGGTCTGGGCCAAAATGGATTAGAAGGGTCTGGACCAAAACCAAGTTTGGCTCAGATCATTGGCCATCTTATATGGAATAAAATCAAAACAATGTTCAGAATAGGGCTGTCCATAACAAGACTCAAACCGATTAAATCGACCAACCTGGTCCGATTCAATCCGAGTTAGCCGGTTTTTCTTTAGCATCGGTCGGTTTCAGGTTAGAAAAAAACATAAACTGATGGTTCGGTTTCATGTGTGAAAACCAAAACTGAACCGACCCGAACCGACTTAGATATATATTATATATATAATATATTTCAGATATATATTTGTGGAAATATTATATATATATATTATATATATATATATATATATATTTCAGCTTTGTTTCAGAAATATACATATTCTATATAAAATATCAGTTTTAATCCATCAATTCATTTTTAATTTCCAGGCATCCAGCCTTTGCTTTCTTAGACTTGAATCCTTTACTGTTCACACCGAGAGAATCGTTCACAAAACCGACCCAAACCGGTTCAAACGATCAGGTCGGTTTTACTTAGTACTGGGTCGGTTTCGGTTTCATTTCTAGGTAAACCGACCAGGTCGGGTCGGTTAGAAAAACGCCAGTAAACCAACCCAACCCGACCCATGAACAGCCCTATTTCAGAAAATCAAACTTGGCCTGCCTGACCGAAAAAACCTTGAACTAGTCAACTGGACACTTTGGTCAAACCTGCTAATCCAACTGGAGAATTGGTGAATCGGTCTTCCCTTCATAAAACTAATCATTTTTTTCAACTTAGGCTCAGTTTTGAAAGGAATACAAATACAAATATATAGAGTATAAAACCTTATATTTTGTATGTATTTGTACTGTAGATATATCAATTAAAAGCGCCTTAGTCGTTAATTTCCATTAAATTCTTTGAACAAAAATGTCAAAATTCAGAAGAGGAAACAGATCGAGAAAGAAAACTATGGGCTGCGGGCCACTTTTCAAAGAAGGTGATTAATCCTGCACAATCTCGCCGTAGATACAAAAAATAGTTACCTTCATCGGTTCATCTGTGTATATATTAAGAAAGTTAAAGAGTGAAGCAGTATTTTCCACGTCACGTCAATGATCAAAAGCCTTTTATTTTGCTTTAAGAAATTGAAGATAGTAATAGTATTAATTTAGGAGGTC